GTATTTTTGTCATTTCTGGTTTAAATTGAGATCCCTTCCCTTTATAACTCACTTATCCTCCGCCATTCCCAAGTCGAGGGTCGTATATACTGACCCAATAGCATATCTTGAAAACTAGAGCCAATCAACCATTTTAAGCATCATTTTCGTTCTCAGTGACCCAGAATTAGTAAAGTTTTGACTACATTTATTTCAGAAGCATTTTGGCTGTAGAGCCGTGTTCTCTGTAGATCAAAGCTCTGTTTGATGGCACCCTCTAGCACAACAGTATTTTTAAAAAATCTTGTGTCTTTTGAGGCAATCTTGTGATTTCTGGGGCGTGGACTCATGTTCTTTTTCACACTTGGCAGAGCTGCTCACAGTGAGCCAAACGCTACTCCCCGTCGTAGCAGCTCCACAGGAGTCCGTGGAGGAAGAGTCCAAAGCTGCTCTGAATGATGCGCTACTAGGCTGATGTTTTTGCCACATGCGGCAACAGCGCTGGCCGGCTGAGTCGCTTCCTGAGTGAAAAAAGCCCTTGGCTTGTATTAATAACAGTGCACAGAGAAAATCCCAGGTACTAAAGGGCTCTTTAATCTAGAGGTGAACAAAAACCAATAGGTGGAAGCTGAAGCCTGAGAAATTCAAATTGGAAAAAAGGCACCAACTGTTGGATTCTCCATCCCTTGGCGGCTTCCAATCCAGAGGGGACGCCTTTCTGGAAGATACTTTAGCCAAACACAAGTTAGTGGGCTTAGTAACTGGGAGATGCTAATGGCCTGTGCTGTACAGAAGCTCAGACTAGATGATCTAAGAGTCCCTTCGGTCTTTAAACTCTGAATATGAATCTTCGTGATGTTTACCCCAACAGCACAACACCCCGTCAGCTTGGCCAACCCCACACATGCAAATATCAGGAGCTGGACTCCAAAAATCATGTGGCTGGCTTAAGGTTTAAAGAATATGATGTTCTGAGGCCTTTCTATTCACCTCCTGGAGTTGGGAGCTTGGGGAGCACATTTCCAGGCTTTTCCCCACAGTCATGAAAGCCAGAGACTGACAGGGAAGCTGAGACTGGCAGTAAAACAGGGAGCGTTGGCAGCACAGCACAGTCCAGAGAGAGGAGACAACAAGGCGAAAGCAAAGAGAGACTCTGCAATCTCCAGCACTGAGGGCCTTTGCCGTGTGAACTAAAGGACCAAACGTCAAAGGTCAGCTCTACAAAGGTCTTTGGGCACCTACAGATAATAAAAAGTAATAACCTCTAGCTCTTAGAGCTAAGTACCATTATCCCCATTTTACAGTTAGGAAGACTGAGACATAGTGAAAGGCAATTGATTTGCCCAACATCACCCAGCAGAGCCAGGATTAGAACCCAGGTCTTCTGTGTCCACTAGCCTATAGTGTATCCCATTGCAACTACTGAAAACAATGGGAGTTTGGAGCCGAACCGGCCTTGGCACTTTGGAAAAATCCCACAAGGTGTCTCTTTGCATCTTCAGGTGCCAAAACACCTTTGTAAATCTGGCCCTAAGAGTTTCAACTTGCCCCATTAAAGCCAATGGGAGTTTTGCTCTTGTGGTTGTACCAGTTGAACTGAAATCAAATGCTTCTTGGCCTTTTGGCTAACATCAAGTGCACCAGTTGATCTGAAGACGGTTTAAAAAAAATCAATGTAGTTGCACTGGTGCAAAGCCCTGTGTGGATAGACTTATATCAGTTTACAGCTGGCTTGTATGGGTTGAGCTAGCCTGCTCTACCAACCCATTTTGTACCAATTTTAGCTATTTTTTGGGTTGTGTGTGATTTTTTTTTTAGCTAAATAGATTAATTGGTTCAACCCCTAGCCAGGTGCATTTGCACCAGTATAAAGATGCTTACACCACTATAACTTATTACCCTAAATATATGGGGAAAGTACACAGCTGTCAACATCTTCATAGTGGTACAGCTGCGATCACACTGTAGGTTATATGCCGCTGAGTGTCTGTGGCACGCCCAGGTTAGCTGTAAAAAGGCAGTTCCCTGTTGGGACCATAAGCATCTTGCTGTGCTCCTCGGTCCTTCCTTACGGTAACATGGCAAGTTACCCTGGGGTCAGTCTGGAGTCATCCCTTGATTGCTGTGGTGTCAGGGTCGGATTCTGATCTCCGCTAACCTAAGGTAAGTCTGGGACCAGGGTGCTGGGTACTGAAAGCTATTGAACAAAACTGTAAACCCCGTATATAATGGAAACTACATTAAGCCAGGGGTGCAGCCACACCCCCAGCACGCTAATTCCAGCACCCCTGTCTGAGACACTAAAATAAGACCAAATCAACTTTACACGCCACCTGAGAAGACCTTGATATAGTTTCCCCCTAACTGCCTCATTACACAAGGTCATAGGAGTGATGTTTTCTTCTTGGAGAAGTCTGGCCTGGCCCTCCCCACATAGATGGCTGTATATCAGGAGTAACATCATTGACCTCAATGGAGCTATGCCTGTTTTATGCCACCTGAAGTGAGATGAGACTCAGGATCTATGTTTTAAGATGAATTGTTGATTTATGGGTAACTAAAGTTATCTAGTCAGAGTGGTTCCCCCCTAGGGGTGAGGATTGAAAGATACCTTTGCTTTTCCTTAGTGAGTTGAGCAGCTGTGTCAATGCAGCCGTTCTGGAGCTGTATTAAGAACCTTGTAACAATGGAAGTTATGGATGGAGTGGTTGGCAGGAGATCCAGGATGGCAGTGTCAGGGTTGATCTCCTTGCACCACAGTTCCTCAGGGATGCTGATTTCTGTAACAAAGCAGAGAATCTTTCACGCCGTGTGCACAGAATCACAGGAACCAGGGTATCAAGTGGCAGGTGGGGAAAGAAATGGTTTTCACAAAATAATTCTCCACATTTTTCACGCTGTCTTTTTGTCAAAATTTCAAACTGAATCTAATTCAACCAACTGGCTGGAAAAAAACCAGCAAGTGTTTTATGAAAAAATAAGTTGTGAAAAACTTGCAAAAGTTAGAAAAAAATTAAAAGACACCCCCACTTCTAGCTAGCAATTTCCATATGCAAAAATGCTCAGTTAGCTTATACAACTGGGCAACCTGATTATCACTGCCCTTTCGGTACGCAGCTCCCTTCCTCACCAACCCTGCAAAGATTTACATCCATGCTGAGCTTGAGACATTTTGAGTAGCCCCAGTGAAGTCAGTGGAACCACTCAGAGTATATTACGGATGTTTATGTCTCTGCAGGATAGCGGGTAACCTGGGACCAGCTGTGTGTCAGGGAATACTTGGTAATTACTCTGGAGTAGACTCATACTCCGCTTCACAACTGAATCGTTTGTTTGTTACATGATAGAAAAATATCTAGAAAGGAAAGTAAAACACCATGAAAGTCAAAATACCTGAGCTTCTGGGGCTTGATCTTATATTGCTCCACACTTTCTGAACAGTCTGTATGGCTCTTTCAAAAGTCAAACACTGATCATCTGAAGTTGGAAGAGAACATGGCATTTGTCAACATACTTCCCCAAGAAAAAAAAACAGTTTCCCTCTTGCAAAAATACTTCCAATAGTAAAAAGACTAATTGAAATGTTAACATACCTTGCAACATTAAAGAAGATTTACCAACAGGTAAAATTTTGAAAAGTGCCTATGTTTTTTGGGAGCCTGAGATTGATTTTCAAGAGATTTAGGCACTGAAGGCTAGATCCACAAAGGGATTTAGGCACCTAATTGTCATTTTGTGCACCTGAAGCCAAAATTTAGATATTTAAAATCATCACTCAGCTGCCACTTAACTCTGCAGTTGCTTAAATTCCCACTGGTAAAGTCCCTTAGATGCCTAAATGTCTGCTAGGCAGCATGTACACAGCCCTTTAAATCCTGACACCTCCTAAGCCCCAGCAGGATTCATGGGAGGTTACCGTTCCACTCGGCACTGCGGAGCCCTCAGCTGGATACCGTGTCCAGATCTGGGCACCACACGTGAGCGAAGATGTGGACAAACTGAAGAGTCCAGAAGAGAGCAACAGAAGCGATAAAAGGCTTAAAGAACCTGACCTATGAGGAAAGGTTAAAAAAACTGGGCATGTTTAGACTTGAGAAAAGAAGATGACGGGGGGGGGGGACTTGATAACAGTCTTCAGATATGTTAGGGGCTGTTATAAAGAGGACAGGGATCAATTATTCTCTATGAAGACAGGACAAGAAGTAATGGATTTAATCTGCAGCAAGGAGATTTAGGTAACATATTAAGAAGGGTCATTAAATTCTGGAATAGGCTTCCAAGCGAGGTTGTAGAATCTCCATTATTGGGTTGTTGTTGTTTTTAGGAACATGCTGGACAAACACCTGTCAGAGATAATCTAGGTTTACTCGATCCTGGACTTGATGACCTCTCGAGGTCCCTTCCAGCCCTACATTTCTATGAGTCTATGAACTAGATATCTCCCCACCTATCTCATCTGCAGAAGCCCAACCCAGCAGGCATTCTCAGAGGGTGGTGATGGACAGCAGGAGAGAGATCACTTGATCATTACCTGTTAGGTTCACTCCCTCTGGGGCACCTGGCATTGGCCACTGTCGGTAGACAGGATACTGGGCTGGATGGACCTTTGGTCTGACCCAGTATGGCTGTTCTTATGTTCAGCTTCCAAGTCTGGCCCCACCCAAAGCAGGGCCAAAGCAGACGAGGTAGTGATGGTGCACTCGTATCAGTGGCTAGGGCACTCGCCCTGTATGTAGAAAACGTGAATTCAAATCCCCAACTGTCTTACTCAGAGCCGGGACTGGAACCCAGGTCCCTAGGATTGCAAGTGAGTGCCCTAACCACTGGGAAATTGGGTATCCTGGGCTAACACCCTCTCAATCTCGCCTGCTGAACCTGTTCCACTTTTTATAAACTACTTAAATATTAGCTGGAGCAGGGGCACTGGACCTCTCCCAGGTGGGTAACCTAATCACCAGGGGACAAAGCCATTCTCTCTCTCTCTGGCCCAATCAGGGTAAGTATTAATCTGTGGATTCCGTTAGGCAGCCTGATGTGTAACTGTCAGGTGTTGCAATGCTGAGTTTAAGTCCCCTTTGTGGATCTAGCCCTGAGAAGATCAAGGCCAGGTCTACACTTGGAGCACTTTGCCGGTGTCGCTATACCAGTATCCTGTTCCAGCAAAGCGCTCCTAGTGTGGACGCAGCGTACAGCAGCCAAAGCACTTTTGCTGGTTTGGCTTATTCCTGCCTCCCTGAGCAAAATAAGTTGTCCCGGCAAAAGCACAGTGCAGCTGGTATAACTATCTCTGCACTAGGAGCTTTTGCCATCAAGCTCCATCAATCACAAAATTGCACCTCATCACATCTGACCAGCCTGGCTATGCTGTCACAAGTCTGTAGTGTGGACCTGGCCACAGTCTTATTGAAATCCAACGGCTCATAGACTCCTCAGTCACGGAGGCATTTTGACTGATTGCTCTCATTGGCTTGTTTGACTGATGTTTACAATTTGCAAATAATTGCAGAACTGCAGGTGTTCTCCTTGGTCCAAAGCCCACTGCAGCAAATGGGAGCTTTTCCCTTGACCGCCACAGTATCTGGCTCAAGCCCCAGGCATGTCAGTATTATTCCTTGTACAGAGACCATGCCTAGCTCAGCCATGAAGTTCCTTGGGTTCTTTATTGCTGCTCAAGAAACAGGGTTGTACAGATTCTTAGGATATCCTCATTTATTTATCTCCTAGAACTGGAAGGGACCTTGAAAAGTCATCGTGTCTAGCCCCCTGCCTTCACTAGCAGGCCCCAGATCCCTAAGTGGCCCTCTCAAGGATTGAAGTCATAACCCTGAGTTTAGCAGGCCAATGCTCAAACCACTGAGCTATCCCTCCCCTCTAATTCTTGGGTGCATTGAGGCTGCCAGGGGTTATCCCCACAATGCAAAGCTGCCCTAAAGCCCCAAGAAGATCCCTATAGCACTGAGGGATCCACAGGTGTGTAGGATCAGTGCACAGTGATGATTCACACCAGATCTGAATCTGGCCCCAGTGACTCCAATACAACTGTTCCAAGGGTGGATTTGGTACCATAACCCTAGAAGTATGAAGCGTACCTGAGAGGTTGTCCCGTTCCAAGAACTTTCTCACAGAAAGACTTTCACCTTCGTGGATATTGCCATTTTGGAAAAAGTGGATCAGAGAGCGCTGCAAAGTGAGAATTTCAGGCAGGTGCCGTATGTGTCGGATGTGCTGGTGCTGTAAGAGAAAAGTAACCACCTCTTTAACATGATGCCTGTGTTGAGTGAGAGATAAAAGATGCTATCGGGACGAATGTCGGGTGGTTCTGATGTTCCTGCAAACTTCATGGTTATGTGGGTGTCTGGCTGCTTTGCATCACTGGAGCAATGCAAATCAGCCAGCAGGGACCGGTCCAAGCCCCTTTGGACTTTTTAATAGTAATCTACTTTATCCGTACAGTTCTCTATTGGACCCTAGGAAAGCTATGCAAAGATCCTGCTACCTGCCAAACCCCTGCCAACCGCCTAGCATTTCATACTGGTCATTGCTAGCACACCTGTTGTAATGCAAACTCAAACTGTCCATAGGCATGTGCTGCAATCAACTGAAGCTGCCTGACTGGAATGGAAGTAGCAGATCACACTTGCCTTGTTTCTTTGGGCCAGATTGAGAGGTGTAAAAAGTAATGGTGTAAATTAACCCCCTTGTGAGGATAGCTGTCCTATTTCTTTACATGTGTAGCAGGAAGCCTGGTAGAAGGGGAGGAGTCTAAAGCAGGAAAAAATGGTGCTTTTTAAAGTCAGCTAAAATGTATTGAATCATAGAATATCAGGATTGGAAGGGACCTCAGGAGGTCATCTAGTCCAACCCCCTGCTCAAAGCAGGCCCAATCCCCAAACAGATTTTTGCCCTAGATCCTAAATGGCCCCCTCAAGGATTGAACTTTTGAACCCACAACCCTGGGTTTAGCAGGCCAATGCTTAAACCACTGAGCTATCCCTCCTCCCATGAGCACTGTTCATAAGACATGTGAAACCCTGCATAGACTAGGTTTTTTTCCTATTCTGGACAAAGAACTTTAGGATTAGAAAGAGACAGCGGGCTAAAGGCAAACTATGATTTTCTTTATTCTAATGAAGTTCCTTGTTCCGTGTTTGGAGAAATCAGCCATCGTCACATGACTCCCTTGCACATTGGTCAGTGAGTGTGAGTCGGCATGAGAGAGTCCAAATGAAAGTAAGGGAGTAAATCTTACACATCATCTCGGAATCTGGCTTTATGGGCATAACTTAAACCTGAACGTTCATGTTTAAATACGGACATGATGGAAGACCTAGCATAATTATCTCCTGTCTTTAAATCAAGATCTTAACATAACTGTAAGTAAAAGCCCCATCTAAGACAAAAGCCATGTGTGAACCTGTCCAGGAGCTTTTGGCTGAGTATTGATTTGAGTAGCTGTGTGTTTATGGGAAGAGAGATCACACCGGGCTACACCAGAAAATTAGGTCAGTTTAATTATGTCAGCCAGAGGTATTGAAAATTCACCCCCCTGAGCGGTGTAGTTATGACCTAAGGCTCTGTGTAGACATTGCTAGGTTAACAGAAGAATTCTTCCATCGACCTAGCTACTGCCTCTCGGGGAGGTGGATCACCTACACCAGTGGGAGAATCACTCCCGTCAACGTAGGTGGCATCTATACTGAAGCACTACAGTGGCACAGCATTGTAAGTGTAGACAAGCCCACAGAAACAGAGGTCAGACAAGAACAGGCTAAGAGGGAGAGACTGCCAGCAGGAGGGAGCAGCTGCAAGCCAGTGGGTGACTCTGGGAAGAGGCCAAGGGCGCAGGATCAAAGATTGCTCTTGGTACTGTGAGCAACAAAAGCTGTTTCCTGCTAGTTGATTCCCCCCTGTGTTCAGAGACACGAGTCTTTGTTCATTATTTGTAAATAAACAAAACTGAAGTAAATAAAATATCAGACTCCATCAATTTCTACGTCCAACAAGGCCCCAAACTTTAACTAGCCTGTTGGGCTGAAAAGGGGTTACAATGTATTCACATCTCTATATATGTGTGTGCTGTTCTAACGCATGTGCTGTTTGTGTGTGCACATTACTTCAAATCATCCCAGAGCACCTTGGACAGCAGTTCCAGGAGCACAGGGAACTGGTTTGCTCCATTTTCTTGTTGCACCAGATGGGTCAGGCGCTGGATTGTCATCCTCTGTTCAAATCTCCACATGCAGGGCATGTTGATCAGCCCGCAGCTCGGCAGGTGGCTGAAAGGCGGGGACTGGCCGTAGGCTATTTTCAGGAGAACATTTGAACTGTGAGCTCCCTCCTCTACAATCTGCTGCTTTGCAGAAGCAATTTTCTGCTCCAGCACCTGTGGAAGTGAGATGTCAGTTAGGAATCAAGTCTGGTTATAAAGGGGCCGGGCTCTTCTCATTGGTCTGAGAGGCAGCCGGGCTGGCTCAGGGTTAAGACACCAGACTAGAGATCCGGGTTCAATTCTTGGCTCTGCCACTGACTCCCTGTGTGATCTCAGAGAAGCTATTTCATGACTCTGTGTCTCCATTTCTCATCTGTAAAAAGGGACAATAATCCTGCCCTTGTCTATTTACACTGTGAGCTCTGTGGGGCAGGGACTGATTTCCACTGTGTGTCTGTGCAGTACCCAGCTAGGGACTACAGAAACTCCATAAAAGCGGAGGGGCCACTGGCATCCGAAATATGGCCCCATCCTAACCCCTTCCCCCAAGGACCCGCCCTGGAGCTGCCCATTCCCCCATGGCTCACCCCCTTCTCGCTCTTCTCCGCCCTCTCGCCCTTATAGCAGGTAATAAGTGGGAGGACCACGGCCCCTTCACCCCACTCCCACCCACAGACTCTTTGTGTGTATCTGTGAATTGCCAGGCAAAATGGGGCCCTGATCTTGGTTTAAGCCAACAGGCCCTACTGTGATAATAATAATAATAATGAAATGCCAACAGAACTCTTGGAAATGCAGAGGGCAGGCAGTTTAACACCAGGTTCATAGACACTCAAACACACAGGAGTTTCCTCTCTAGTCTGCTGAACACAATGGACAAGTTTTTACATTGAAAAAATGAGCCAGGCTTAATATAGTTTATGTTGTCCTATCAGGTTCTTATAATGCGCCCATCACTGTGGCATCTGAGCACCAAGGGGTTCTTTGGAGGCAAAACAATGGCATTTTAGAAATGTTTTGTGTGACTTCTGGTTTCATATAGTGGCATGGAAGTCTCAGGTGGGCTTTTTCTGGCTCGCTCTCTCTTACCCTGAGTAAACAGCTGGTTTATTTGTGATATTGACCATGTATAGAAAACTGGTTCTCACATACCTGGAAGAACGACTGAGTTACGGCTTTTAAACAGCTTTCCCATTGTACTCTGTCTTCTTTTTCACGCATACATTTAATGGTCATGTTTGTGTCTGTAAGAAATATACAATTACACGTCAGCTTTCATCATTTAACATAAATTAATGAGCAGCTCTAAAGTAGCGCAGTCACAGTAAATATTGTGGTTCATAATAGTGAAATGAATTACAGTGTTACCAGGCAACTGGATTCCTGAGCCATAAGATATAGGAGAACATTCACATATTAGCCAGTTAAAAATCAGTTTATTAATAGGTTCGTAGGTTGTAAGGCCAGAAGAGAGTGTTATGATCATCTAGTCTGATCTCCTGCATAACACTGGCCATAGAACCTCAGCCAGTGATTTCTACACCATGCCCATCACCTCTGTCTGAGCTATAGCAGATCTTTTAGAAAGAGATATCACATCTTAATGTCAAGACTCCAGGTGCTGGGGAATACACCTCATCCCTACATGAGGTGTCCTGATGACTCATTCCCCTCTCTGATAAACATTTTGAACCTAATTTTAGTCTGAATTTGTCTCACTTTGTCATAAATACAGAAGCAAAAAACAAAATAAAAAAACCAGTCCCTAAAACGAGGCGTTTCTTTACCGGCTGTGCTGTCGAGGATGTATCTGAGGAATAGGTGGACTGTCATCGTTGCATCGTCTATGTTTCCACTAAGTGACTCCGCTAGGAACTGGATGTCTTTTTCAAGATGGTCACAAAAGAACTTTACGGCGTCCTGGGGCTTCACTTTCATTAGCTCCAAAATGGACTAGAAGGCAAAATATTTCCATAGCTTAGCTCTGAGGAAGCATTTCCCCATATAATTGTACAGACACTTCTCTAAAGACAATGTATAACTCAGTCAAAGTTACCATTACAAGTTATAACTGGTTAGTGCTGTACAACCCTGATGAGTTATGACAGACAGATAGACAGAAGTGTTATTGGGCATATTTGTTTTCCCACCTGTTTATCGGTAAAAGTTCCCAGGAGCATTGAAGAATGGAGCAGTGCTCTGGCGATGCAGACTGAGGTTGCAGGCAGATCCCTCTCTGTCTCATTGTTCCGTGAGGACGGACTCACCAGCACGTAGCCTCTCTCTGTTTTATCCTTCGTGCTGTATTAAGAAACCATCATTTGACAGTCATAGAGGTCAGAGTTTTCTCCCAAACCTTGTATTTTTTTGGTGTTTCACCTTAACCAGTTCACAACTATAGTGACCGTGGGGTCACACTGGGGTGGGGAAAAGGATTGGAATTTTGAACTTTCAATGACATTTCCCCTAAAATTGGCACCTATAGTTCACCCCAGTAGACAATTCCCAGCTGTGTGGGTTTAAGTTGACACAGTCTTATTCATTTCTTTTACATCACATGCAATGATTTTAAACTTACATATCTACTTCCTCAAATCCCTCCACGGGGTTGTGATTAGTCCCACCGACCTCGGAGCCACACAGACACTTGATAATAACCCAGGGCCGTCCGCACTGTTGTCACAGGAATAATGTCAGCATTAGTCACTTCTTAAAGAACCAGCAGTGCAACAATTGTACGATGGTTTGCTCAGCTGCTAGCCAGACAGCATCACTCTCTCCAGCTGAGCAAGAAACAGACTTTGCACAAACCGCTGGAGGCAGCAATGTTCCGAAGAGCGAACAGGAAAGACAGTGAGTGTGCAACACACTGGCCTTGTGCATAGGATCATGTTCTCAAAGTAGCCTAGTGGAGTTAGGGCTTGTCTACACAGCCCCTCAGTGCACGGCAAGTCGAGGTGTGAATGTACACGAACCAACTGTCTGTGTGGCACCTGCTCCCGCAAGCTAAAAGTGCTACTGAATCAGCAGTACGTCCAAGTGCAATATGGAATTTTAGTGCACAGGACGCAGCAGTGTCCACACAGTGATTTAGTGCGCAAGACAGTGTGCTGTAGTTCACACCGTGGCTTGTCGCACACAAAGTGGCCATGTAGACAAGCCCAATGGCTCCCCAAACATGCTGAAGTTTGGGGGGGGATGGGTGCCTAGCTCACTTTGTGTGTATAAACTTGTGGTCTCACGAAATGTATGCAGAATCAGTATGATTGATAATGGCAAGGCAAAACCACATGGTCACTGTTTAAAACCACGTTGCTAGAACGGAGGAGGAGGATTAGGTGCAGGACACTCAGACCTCCAGTTGGGAAGGCCCAGATCCACCAAGGTACATCGTGGCTAAGCCCCAATTTCAGGCATCACTGCGAGCCACAAAACTCCTGCTCTGTTACCTCCTAACCCTGTAGCATCTACGCTCACTCAGCGCCTCTGTTTTCAGGGTACACGTTCCCTCAGTGCTGAAGTTTCTGCCTCTGGGCATGTGCATTGCTGCCTCCCTCTAGGTGTCCAAAGGCCAATCTCTTGCCTCAGCCCCAGAGCAACCCACGAACCAGGGGAAGACAGGAAAAGGAGCCCGTTGAAAACCAAGCCAGAGGAGAAGGTTCCTTCACACCTTTCAGCTCAGTGGTTCGAGCACTCACCCCGGGTGTGGGAAGTTCAGGTTTCATTGCCCCCTTGGCCCAAGGGGGACTAAGAATTTGAACTGGGGGCTCCCAGCTCCCAGGAGGGTGCCTAGCCACTGAGCTATGGGATAATCTGATGGGGCAAACTTCATCTTGAAAGAAAGAGACCTAGGCATCTAACCCCCCTGACTCTATTGGAGGGGTTCCCATTCGTGGATCACTAGGCAGAGCCAGCCACCTCCCTGGAGCCTGGACTCAGGTGCCTACCTCTCTGAAGGGGGCAGGGCTTAGCACATGCCCCAGTGATTGGTATCTCCCATTGGCTAGCTTAAATAGCTCCCTGCCTAGTGTGCTGGCTTGGTGTGTCACATTGTCAAGTGCCTGTCTCTGCCCAGGCATTGGGCAATGGTGCCTAACTCGGGCTCTGTGGATCCCACTGCTGTTCCAGTGCTTTTCTAAGCAACTAGAAGTTAGGTGTGGCCATGTGCAGCGTCACAACGCCTATCTAAGCAGAGGCTGAATGAGCTCTCCCCTGACATCTAGTGGTGAGCTGTGGAAAAGGACTTCAGGAGTTGATCTCATTTGCATGGGCACACCCACCCTGCCTAGGTGCTCAGCATGATGGAATTGCTTGCCCAAATGATCACTTTTTGGCTGGTGTGGGATCCCCAGTCTCCTTGTCATTGGGGCCAGAGTTATAAAGACTTGTTATCCTTGTTGTGTGTTGTGTGAATCCAGGGAAGCAGAACTGTACTTGGCATTTCCTGATTGAGGGACTCACCCTCAACTAAACGACACTCGCTAGGCAGGGGGACATGTGTTCTGAAGCCCAATGAGTTGAGAGAGAGGGTGGGAACTGTCACTTGTACCTGGTAGTGTGGGCCTTATCTAAGGGCCCCGGACACCATTTAATACTTCCTCTCTCTACTGTGTAATAAGAGAGAGTCTTATTACACAAGACAGGGTAATAAGCAGAGAGGTGTGGTGCTGGGGCAGCAAAACAAGTAAAGTGCCTTCTTACCCACCACCCAGGGTGGAAGGTGAACTCTGCAGATGCAACTCTGCCCCTGGGTCTGCACGTACCAAGGACAACAACTGTGAATGGGGTGCAGAGAAGGGACGGGCATGTTAAAGGGACTTTTGGTTGCTGGACTTAAGAACTTGATGGAAGAGGACACTGCCTAACTTACTCATGAGTTGGTCTTTTGCGCATGGTTTATGTTTATGAACCCTGTTTGTGGTGTTTTCCCAAATTAATGCTGGGCTACTTCCCTCCTGTTACTAAGTTTCTTTTCTACATTCAGACTCTGTGCTGGTAAGAGGGGAAGTATTGCCTCTTAGAGGCGCCCAGAGGGTGGTGTGTGATTGTCCCATGTCACTGGGTCGGGGCTTGAGCTGGTTTTGTGTTGTATTGTTGAAGAGGAACCCCTAGGTATTGAACCCGGCCCTTGTTGCTGCCAGTTCCAACAGGCAGAAGGGTTACACCTCACCCCTTTGTGAATCTGGGCCTAAGGCATTTGCAGTGGAAAACAACTACCTCTACAAATACTGCTCGCTTTACTCTTACAGGCCATGCCATGGAACTCTTCATATTCTGTAACTGTCTCCACAGACACATCTACACATGTAACCCACACTTACCAGTGTGGTGCCCAGCCCAGCTCTAGGGATGGCTGGGCCGTACATAGAGGTTGATGAGCCTGCTACAGCCTGGGCTAAGAGAGGTGAGTCTTTCAGCTCAGGCAGGAAAGAACTGTGCTCTTAGCTCTGGAGGAGGCAGGTTCAGCCCCACCCAGGGGCTCTACCACCTTTACGGGGCTGTCTCAGGTAGGGGCTACATGCAG